GATACTATCGCTTAATGTGCGTGTGAGTGTTTTTTTTCCTTGCTGTTGTTCATTTATTTTATTATTTACTTTGTATCTGTAATTTTCTTTTATTTGATCTCTTCTTTCCTCTCTGACTGGGTTTTAGTTACACTGTTCTGGATTGGGGGGGGCACGACTGTTTGTTAATATTGCCGTAATTGTTATTGGAAGCAATTCTTTGTTCAATAAAAAGACCTTGATAAAAAAAACAAAAACAATTAAGACAAAAACAGGCCCAACCCAGTACAAAGTGCAAAGGTGAGGACTCCTCACAGGCTTCCTGTGAAGAAGGATTCATACATTTTATAGAGCATGCAGGACCTTTGTTTCCTGGAGCTTCAGCTTTAAGCCGAGACTATTGTGTCTCCAAGACGACGAGTTTGGGAAACGGAGCTAAATGAAGTTTTCTTTCATCAGAATATGAGTCTCAGTGTTGTGTCCTGAGCAAAGTGTTAAAGAACAGCCTTCATGTTCATCACAGACTTTCCTTCATAGTCACAGCGTGTGTGTGTTTGTGTTTTCCAGGAGTATAAGCCCCCAGCCACACGGCGTCTACATGAGATTTTGGGTGTTGAGACTGGGGGTCCCGGGGGCCGGCGGGCAGGAGAGCCAGGACACGCCCCGTGTGACTACCTAAAGTTTAAAGGTAGGCATTCGCATGATTCCTGCAGGACTGAGGACACAGGAGAGCATTAATATGCATGTAAACAACACACACACACACAGAGGGTAAAATATAAATAAGTGAAACAATAAATACATTAAAGTTATGTAAATTATTCTCGCAGTAACTGTCCTCCTGAGGTCGTCTCTGCTGATGTGATGAAATCTATATTCATTTTAAGCATAGCATAAATAGTAGCAGCATGTAGGCCAGTGCAGCCGTCAGAGGTGAAGAACAAAGTTTGTGGTTGATCAAACTGGCTGTGGAAATATAAACAAGTCTGAGCTGTGGAGAGGCACCAGAAAGCTGTAGCTGGGCTCACCAGGGCACAGCTTCTGGAAGCTCTGGGCTGGATTCTGTTCATCGGTAAGAGTCGGGTCGGGATACTTGTGTCCTCCCAGTTCGGTG